TGATCATTTTGCATGATCTGCTCTCCCTTAGCGACCATAATGACAAGAGCTTCTATTAAGCTCTGAATGGATATTTTATGCTGACTAAGCTTTTGTCCCATTATTACCCGTACTTAAAATAAAACGTAAGTAAATACTTACCAGGACGTCTTCTCTTCGTCCTTCTATATTTTTCTCTAGCCTTTCTCGGAACGAATCTCTGCTGTTCCCTTCTGGACGAGTCTCTGCCGCCCCCTTCTGTTTTTCACTGTGGCCTTTCCTGGGATGAATCTCTGCCGTTCCCTTCTGGACGATTCTATGCCGTCCTGTCTGTTTTCCGCCGAGGCCTTTCTCTTTATTTTGGTGCTTGGGACGATTCTCTGCCGTCCCCTTCTGTTTTCCGCTGCGGCCATTCTGGGTTGCTCTGCACTGGAGCCTTCCTGGGGAGCTCTTTACTGGATCCCCCATACCCAAGTCCGTGTTCAGGTGCCACGTGCCCCGACCCGCGGGACAGTTGAACAGGTTCCTTGGGGGAGGGAGTGAGAGATGGGACAAACACACGCACACACAATACGAGGTGCTGATCAAGTCTTCTTCTTCCGTCTACTTCCGTTTATTCAGGAAAAATGACGAGTTATGTACAGCTGGTGGGAACCAATTGGCTGCCCGAAATGCAAATGAGATAGAACAGCATGAACCAATCATTGATGTAGGTGGATCTCTTCCGTTGCCTAGAAACCCAACCACTTCCAGGGAAAACAGCTGGTCACATGATTTCTGAGAGATGGTTTGCTCAGTGAGGAAGTGAAGCCTAATGGTTTCCAAGATGGTGGATAGCTCAAGATGGCTTCCTATGCAGTGCCCACCCAGTCCTTCCATGTGGGCCTGGGACTCCTCCATTCCTCCACCCCCACTGGAAAGCCCAAACTTGCCCGAACGCATCATGACATTTATTCGTTATTTTTGTATCTGCCGGAAAACCAGAAAATCCTCCATGTGTGCCTTCTCACCGTGCACTCCTGCGATGCATCAGTTTGCAAGTTGCTCCCACATCTGTCTGAACCTTACTCACTCCTTTGTCCTGTCTCTAGTGAAGGGGACGTGTCCCCACCCTCCGAGGACACCTGCAGCGTGGCAAGCTTCCCCACAGACCAGTTGGAGGACATGGTTCATCGCCTGCTACAAGATGTGCTCGTTGACAACCCTCACGCCATCCCTGTGTTCCTGTACGGTTACAGAGAATTTGCCACCTGTCACCAGGTGCTGGACGTGCTGTCCCGCAGGTGAGTCCCTCCCCTCCAGGGCGCACGGTCCACTGACCCACGAACCCTCTGGGGTCCTGGGAATGCACTTCACCTTTCGGAGCATCGGCTTCCTCCTGTCGAAGTCACAGCGCTGGGCTAGTCACGCTCCAGCACTGTGGCAAGAACCTCCCTATGAAACGGCCTACCCTGGACCTGACCCGCACAAGAGCGGCCAGGGCTCTGGTGTCTGCACTAAGGGTGTTCCTCTCCCAGGGGGACGCTCTCTGCCTCGGCCTCATTTCGTGTGGCCTCAGGGAAAGCCGGTTTCCCCTCAGTCAAGGATGTTCCAGTCTCAGCTGGGGCCTTTGACTGGATGCGGCCACACCAGGACCCTGCCCACAGGTGTGCTCAGGGGCCCGTGCCCACTCAGACCTCAAGGGAGTAAGTTGGGGGCCCATTCGTTCCACAAACATACATAAGAGTCCTTCAGTGTGCTGGCTGCATCCCAGCACTGAATGCACACCAGTGAACGGAGGATGGGGAACCTCTGCTCTCGGGCACTTCTTCTGGCCAGAGGCTCTGCCTGCCAAGGCAGTTATGTGAAAGAGGAGGGGACAACATGCCCTCCACGTGACGCCTTCCCGGCCTCCTCTAGGTATGGACAATTCCTCTGGGATGTAGAGGAAGATGAGCAAGTGAAGAGGTGAATGGGCTCTGGGGCCAGAAAAAGTGCTCCGGTCCCCAGGAGGGGGGAGCCCTCAGGGACTGTAGCCGGGGAGGCCTAGGTGGAAGCCTGCTGCTCACTCATCTCGTGATTCCCGCCAGAGGGTGAGGTCTGGGACCATCCCTGCAGGAGAAAGGAGACAGACACTGTGGATGGGCCCAGGCACTCAGCAGAGCAGAGGGGACACTGGACGCTCAAAGCTGGTTCAAAGGGAGTCCATGCCCACCACAGTCAGGCCTGCCTACCCTGACCTCTGCAGGGGCCCAGGCAGGAGGTCCGCGGAGTAGCTTGCGCCCTTCGGGTCACACTCGATAGTCCTCGCATACGGAGGATGACTCGCCTTTTCAGGAGAGACCTATACCTTGCAGGTACTATGGAAGGAATTTGGGAAGGACAGGATCGACCTCTGACGACGGCGCTGCCTGCTTATCCTTTCTAGTGTCATCTGCTCCCTTCTGAGCACGTGGCTTGACGACTACCTTGACGACTTTTACGAACCTCCCGACTTCCCCGGGCTCGAGACACTGGCGGAATACGTGTCGACCATCGCACCAGGATCCCACCTGGACAGACGAGCCCATATCGTCCTGGCCGAGGCGGTGGTGGCCGACCACGCTTGCGGCCCC